AATGTTTTGTTTTGATATATAAGTTGTTCGGGTGTTTTCATCTAAAAATAAGCGACATTAATTTCTTGATGACCTAAGATCTTGACTTAATCATCTCTAAATCAATAATGTTTACTACAATATGGATATTTTTTCTGTCCAAAGAGAGTATGTAATACTCTGTTGGCTCACAATTTACTTTACTGGACTGGAATTAAATGAAAAAAAAAAAAGGCAACTTTAGTCTCTCATCATCCAGCCAAATTGACGAATTCTGGTATTAAACAGTATGCCTCTTGGGAGTTATGGAAGACAAATGAAATGGTTTTTTTACATTTCTTTGATTTTGAAGCTAAAATGAAAAATTAAGAGGAATGTGAAAAAAAAGACAGATGTAATTTACCGAATTTTATACAAAATAAAAATAAATTTAATACACTGGTGTAACTAAGACTGTGCAATGTCATAAGACAAAACTTATAATGATTAGAATGTATTAATTGATCAGTTGGGTATTCTTGCTTTTATAGGTACTTTCAGTCGTAATCCCAATAATATCTCGCGAAGGTTTAACTAGCTTAGGAAACTTAGGCTAGTTCTAAGTTCATATATTACATTAACATTTATATAAATTACCTATAGACCTTTCACACTTCCATGTGTGGTTTGTTAATTATCTTGAAAATATTGCTCGGTATCTTACATTGGGAAAATGATATTCATGTTAAGCTTAAGGTTAAGTAAACATAAACTAGGTCATAAAATGAATTTTATTTTTCGATTAGAACAAAATCTTTGTAATTTGCAGAAAAACTGTGAATAATGCAAAATGTTATATTATAGAAAAACCCAACTATCATCATAATTTCATTAAAGTAAGACTTAATCTGAAAAATGATAAAGGCCCTTATCAATTGCTGAACTACACAAACGCTTTATTTTCTCTGTAACACGTGACGTAAAATTTTTATAAATACACGTATCATTACACGGAATGTTTCGTCTAAGACATCAGAGCCAATTCGCTTTAAAAATGAGACCGTCTCCGAAATGTAAGAAAAAGTATATTAATTTTGGGTATTGAGCTAAGATGTTTTTAAGTGTTATATCTTTATCTGTATAATTACTTTGATTTCTTCAACATGTTACATGTTGCGTAAAGGTATGTACTTATTGATTACAGCAACAAATTGGTTGTTCTTGAGAATGTGTTAGCTTTTAAAATACGTTTTATTTGTTGTATGTTCATTAAAAATGCATTCATGACTGTTTGATTTGTCTTTTTTATATATTCATAGTCTTCCATAAGCGTCACGTAACTGTTTATACCTTGTCATTCATTTTGCTTTGACTTTGTAACTTTCTATCAGTCAATCAATATCCGTACAATGGTTATTTTTTTTCTTGATACGAATGGGTGCCGTTTAAGTAAAACACTTAGATTTTTTCTATTTTTTATAATATTTTATATCTATGCGGATTTAGATATTAAAATTCATTGTACATGTATTTTTGTTTCATATTTGAAGCTTGTTCTTTCAGTACATGAATATCAGCCTTATATATTTCTAAAGCTCGCGATTAAACAAAAGGTACTAATAATAATATATCATTATAAAGCGTATCATAATTAATAGGAAAATATAAATCATTAAGGTTTCCTAGCGAGAACACATCGTGGTATGGTATATTATAGTTAACAAAAACAATACCAAGCATTAACTGAAATCAGTTTGCAACTTAAGGAATACTTACAAGGTATTTTCGTAGCCATACACTTCAAAACTCATTCCAGCGGTGGCACCGACGATCAAAAGTGGAATACCTAAAGGAAAATTAACGATAACAAATTTAGACGTTTTATTTTTTTGATAGGTAGTTTAGGCGGATTATTCATATTGAGTTGACTGTGAAATTTTCAGCAACTGCCTATTAGAGAAACAATTGCAGAAATATATTAGTGACTACAAAATCTATTTACGCAGCTCAACTCTAGGGTACGACATTTCAAAATTCTTCTGCCTTTCGTCTTCAGTTAAGTCTGCGTAATTTTTCTTTTTTTAACCATAACAGGAGTTTGAATTCCAAAATGGAATATCCAAACCCTTCCAAACTGGGATTTTAGGGAATATTCAAGAGCCACATAAATAGATTGTACAGTCACCAAGTGTTTCTCTTATACTTCCTTCTATTTTAGCCACATAACTAGATTGTACAGTCACCAAGTGTTTCTCTTATACTTTCTTTTATTTAAGCCACATAATTAGATTGTATAGTCACCAAGTGTTTCTCTTATACTTTCTTTTATTTTATTTAAGCCACATAACTAGATTGTACAGTCACCAAGTGTTTCTCTTATATTTTCTTCTATTTTAGCCACATAAATAGATTGTATAGTCACCAAGTGTTTCTCTTATACTTTCTTCTATTTTAGCCACATAAATAGATTGTACAGGTGGCTTAAATAAAAGAAAGTATAAGAGAAACACTTGGTGAATTTTTTCTTACAGAGTAATTATAGATTGTCGCAAAATACCGTTTAAAGTTTTTTACTTATTTTTTTGTTTGTTATACGTTGGAATTACTAGATGCATATTATTAATAAAGAAATAGTAAGCGTATTCAAACAGTACAACAGGGCTATATAAAGTACTATGCTAGGTTTATCAAGAGAATTAGCCTACGGAAATTTTATTTTTAACAACACATTGAATTACCTATGATGAGTGTTGAGAAATACGCGGAATAGTTTCTTCCCATGTGTTAAGTACAAGAAAAATGTAGCTCACGAATGATCGTGTATAACAAGCCATTATATGTTTGCCGTTACTGCATCATATGTTATGCGTTTCCTCAAAAAGTGACGTGAATCAACTATTACAAAATGGGAAACTGCGAGTGACACTGGTTTTGAACAACATACCATTACTATTACAAATGAGAATTTCGAATGGACAGGCATTCTATATCTCGCGTACAGTCCTGGCGTAGTACTATTTGACTTAACCTTTTATATCTTCTTAAGGGCGGTCTACGTAGTCAGGGATTCTAGTTTGTCGATATTTTTAAGTCGGCTTTACACATTTGATTTGTGCGATAGATAAAAAGTGATCAAGAAAGGATATATTTTTACTGTTAAAATCCTCATCACCAAAACTGATTCTTTCTGTATATCTCACATATTAATTAATACCTTTATAATTAAACATGAAACAAATTACATCTGATAACTGTATACAAAACAGTTACTTCAACAGCTGGGTTATAAACATAATCTCTGCAGGCCCTAAAACTATAGCAGGTAATGCTGTGAAATATTTAGATCTTTAAGTAATGCGCAGATAACAAACTCATTCTTTGGACATACGTTAAAACTCATCTTTTTTTCCAATGATATATATGTATTCTTCTCTCTAAATATCTCTAAATCAGAACTTAGATAATCTAGGTAGAATAACGTCCTCTATATCCGTGTTATTCCGTACTACAAGTACAGGTAAATTCACCAATACTAACTTTTAATTATGTCATTATAAAGCAAACTGTCAAATGGGCATTAATATGGTCAGGTTATTAATGTGAATACTTGCTTTATAGTTCAAATATTTTTGTCAAACATTCTCATAAATAATTCTATAGATGTTTTGCTACGCTTATTGGTGTCGTATTGTTTCATTTTTCATGTTAATTATTAAGCACAAAGCTACATAATGGGGCATCGAAATCCGGTATATAATGCTATAAGCCCTCAGATTTACCACTAAACCACTGAGGGGTTCATTTTGCGAACAAAAATGTATATTAAAAATACGGAGATGTGTTTACATAAGTTCTGATTGTAGAAGTGTCAATAAGACACTATGATGTGGTTCTGCGAAATGACCAGTTAGATTCACTCGCACAGTATCACTAAACGTGTTAATAATGTACAATTTAATTGAAGAAATTGGTTGAAAATCTCCCACGTAGCTTGTAGATTAAAACAAATTAATAAACGTTCTTTTCAATAAAACATAATATTTCTTCACTTCTAAAATAATATAACACTTGGGACTTTTACATGCAGTTTTCTGTAAGTCGAACACAATAGGTATTTTAAGAAATAAATTAAAGAAAACAATAATTTATAAGTAGTTGACGACTCAAATCTTTTCTAAGTACTAATATTGTTTTTCACAACAGATACATCTATATACTCGAAGCAACTCTCTCGCTGAAAAAGAACATGGTCATCAAAAATAACCTATTGTTGTGCCGTGTAATATACAAATGAATGACTTTGGGACATTAAATGTTAAATACATACTCTGCAGGTACGATTAAATATGGTTTTATGATAAAACTGATTAAAATCCTATATCTCCATGTTAAATACAAAGTATACAATATCTCGAGAATATTATTGTAAATCACGTATAGTTCCATTTAATCAGTCATATATTATTAATGTAATAAAATCAATCATATATTTAGAATAGCATTTCAAAGCCTTTCATTCACTTACCCCAAGCTATAAGACAACGTTTAAGTAAGAATCGTGTTTCTGTACTGGCAAAAACGTGGATGAGCATTTGATACATATTGATGGCTTCAACGCACATCCAGGCTAAGGAAGTAAGCAGAAAGTAGTGAATGAGGACGGCTACGATAACACAAACGTGCACACTCGATCTCTGCTGGGATCCGATCAAGAAAGCGATATTCATCAGAAGCATTGACACGCACAGGTTGAGGAGAATTTTCCCCGAGCGATCACGGTTCAGACACCTAAAATCGTTTAAAAAACAAATGCAAGCTTAGAATGAAAATCAAATACGTGAACAATGTTTTTAAAATGTGTATGTATTTCTTGGCTACAATTAGGTGCTTGAAGTTGTATTTCTTGGCTACAATTAGGTGCTTGAAGTTTTCTTCGTTAATTTGAACATCGTTAAAATACGTGAACAATGTTTTTAAAATGTGTATGTATTTCTTAGCTACAATTAGGTGCTTGAAGTTTTCTTCGTTGATTTGAACATCGTTAAAATACGTGAACAATGTTTTTAAAATGTGTATGTATTTCTTAGCTACAATTAGGTGCTTGAAGTTTTCTTCGTTGATTTGAACATCGTCAAAAGTATTTGAAGAGTAGTAACAACATTTTTCTCTAGGCGAACTATTTCTAATAGAGGTGAGTGTATGGCCCTGTTCTTTTAAACATCTACTGAGATGTTGTTAACCTTGTTAGTTGCATGTGCAGTTCTTAAGAATCAGATTTCGACGACCTTGTCAGGAAAATAACGAATTACCTTTTCTTCTGAGGAAGTGTTTCTACAAATCAACTAAATTAACCGAAAATCGACACCAAAAACATCTTATTGTTGCATTTAGTACTTGTTCTATGGTATTTATAAAAATCTCATTAGTCTATCTTCTCAAGTTGATGTAATATTTTTGGAAACTTATGTAAATAACTATCTTTGGTATATTTAAAACAGGAAATTGAAAATAATTCAAAACTGTACGAAGACGCCAAGTATCTATTGAGCACATAAACTACGTGTTATGAAACATTTATGTATCTCAAAACACATACAAGAATTTTACTAATTTCTTAACGATGTTCTGAAACACATAATAGTTAAAGACAGTTTAATATCATACAAAAACACAAACACTTCATATCTTTTGTTCCTGTATATCAGAACGTTGTTTATTATTTCTTTTTTTCTTAGAAAAAACATTCATTGAAAATACTAGTTAGTAGAAGATTGTGTTTTGAATATTGTTTACTCTTTCGTTTCGAGAATAAATGAATCAGATTTATTTTAATTAAAGTTTGCTTCCTTTACTTTACATATAAGAAAATTTGCCATAAAATAAACACTTTTGACAGTTTTTAATGAGTTGTAATCATTTATACCTATTATTTTTTATAAAGATATAGTTATTCATCAGTTATAGTTAGCCAGTTACTTGTGTTCCTTTGTAATCAGTAACGTACTCAAACAATGACTATCACTTTATTTTGATCTAGAGTGATATAACGCTGAAAGTCAGACGAATAAATATTATAATTTTAAAAGAACATAAATTGAAAGTACTTAGAGCGCCCGTTACACATCACCATGTGTGTTTGTGTGTGTGAAGAGGGGTATCCTTTGAGGCCAGGAGGTCACGCGACCTGTTACACAATAGTTCCACAGAGTAGGGCCAGTGGGCTTGACAGTTTTAAAGTATACCATTAGAGATGGACGATGAGATCACCTATGTGGAGCAGCTTCTGCAGTGCACCCAATCACGTGTAGATGTTTCATTATGTGATTTACAAACAAACAACCAGAGGATATTGTTAATCCTGTCTGAACCAGATTGTCTAGCTCAGCCATATTATTCTAAATAAAAATTACTATTTCTTTCTCTGTAGTTCTTAACACTGCATTAGCTCTACATTATCATTATGGTCAACTTTCTATTTTATAATTTTACTTCATTATTAACTTATTCGATAATAGATAACGTGAATGAATATGTAAAACTAATCTTTAATATTTCATTTATTACAGTTTGACTATTTGTATAGTATACTTAATAATTTAATCACATGACTGGACAGTACAATTGTGTATTCAATATGATAGTATTTAAAACAAACGAAGTGTCTGAATAAGTAAAATTAAATATTTTGTTTCATCCAGTATGCCACTTTGACTATTATTATAGTATATATCTTTAACTTCTTTCATTATACTTATATAAGTTTACTTTAAAATCTGTGTAGTCCTGAAAATGACTGTTTTACATTCAAGTTTACACATAAAGCATTCAAAATTTAGACATTTATTTTAGACATCATATTTATATGATCGTCCATACAATAATTTAACTTTCAATCTATGTTGTTCTGAAAAGGTATATTTCACGTTCATTTTTGGTCCATGGCCTAGTAGGTGCTTGGCTTGTAACCTGTGAATCGAGGGTTCAAATCGAATTACTGTGGCTCAGAAAAACGAGTTTATTTAAAGTTTTATTTTACAGAATGTTTCGACTTTACATTTCAATGTACAAATATTAGGCTAAAACATTGGTATATATAAATCAGATTCTCCTCGTATAAGAATTGAAGTTCAGTGTTTGCAACTTCAACATCAATGATATTAAAAACATTTTTTTTTGGCACGTGTGTAATGTTCAATCTTAAAACTCACAATTTAAAAAAAAACTACTATTTTATACACAGTTCTATAAAAATGAGATTGTTTCCAGTCTCCAAATTACACAAAGACAATAACTTACTGTACAGGATAAAAAGTGGTAATAAACCCCGATGAAACTGGAAAACAATCTCATACACTCTACATGTTTCGACGTATACTATTGCCTCAGGATTCATAGGCAATTCCAAGTAGTTGAATGACCCTAACTACTTTGTTCTGACAAAAAGTCATGTGCTTTAGTTCTGGTTCTGAAATCTCCTGTGACATCATGTTTTTACCTCTATAAAAGATGAGCTAGAAATATGGCATCAGTCAGTCAGTCAGTCAGCTAACTATACAGTTGCAGTCACAAGGAGAGCAAGAGAACCTTCACGAAACAGGAACTTCTGAAAAACCTTCCACCCATCTAGTTACGATGAAAATATTTGAGTATTCAACCTCATGTAAGTTAAATTGCTGTCTCATATATTATTTAGTAACATAACAAGATGTTGTGAACTGATATGTATGCTAATCCCCAAACGAATAGTCTGATCAATTTATTAATCAGAGTGATCGAGTTATTGCTTAGAATTTTAGATGGACGTTCTAAAGAGTAACTTACTTCATTAAATATATTATTTTATGTATTGTATACTGTACCAGATAAGTAGTGTTTTGTGATAATCAACTTCTCTGCCAGATTCCTTACTCTATAATTCACGACTGTTTATTCTGGTGTCTAAACAAATACTATTTGTAGTATATATAATTATACCTCTGAATTACCCATTACAAACTGGTGCAGTCGACAAGATTTTTGAATTAACCAACAACAGATTGTAAAGAATAAAGAAGGAGAATTTGAGATAAGTTGATTTAAGTTAATATAAACAGAAATACGTAGTAAAGAATTAGATATAGCTATGGCTACGGCAGAAGTTAAAGCAAAGGAGGGTGCACAACCAAGAACTAACATAATACCAAACACAGGCTTACAAGCCACAGTAGTAGTACCAGCAGATTAATGCAGTGCTACATATTTAACAAGCATTATATCTCTGTTTTATGGTAAGATTGAAGAAAACATTGAATGAATTATTGATGCAACTGATGAGGCTACTAGAATTTCAGGCTGGATGGATGTCCAAAAAGCAGATTTGCTTAGGCTAAGAACATCAGAGGAAGCAAAAAGAGAATATAATAAATTAAGACTAACCCTGACTTTAATCTCCTAAGAGACAAATTACTGAGAGATTATAAAAAGAATGAAATGCAAAACACTATTATGAAACTATAATAAAGCAAATTAACACAACAGAATGGCGAATTGCCTAAAATATTTGGTTATAAGTTTTAAAAACTTCATAATAGACTGCAGAGAATTTGCACACATCCTAACGAACTAATGATAAAAAAAACACATTAAAGTCTAATTAATACTGATTAGCAAGCTAATGGACTGAATATAAGTAAAGCAAATATGCCAGAAATAACACTAGTTGATTTAACTGAAGTAGCTATTATGATCCCAGATATTTTCAGATGAACTTTGACAGCAAAAGAAATAACAGATCAAACTGGCAAGGTAGTAAGCAAAATGAAATAGATGTTAAATGTTTTATCTGTGGCAAATAAGTGTATATTGCTAAATATTGCATCAGAAAAGGTCACACAGCCCAAAACTGTAGATGTCACAGAAGATAAGAAATAACAAAACTAGAGTATGAAACTTTTAAGTAAAGGTTCACAAAACCTACCAGAAAACAGAAGAAATGTAATTCCAACCAGAATCACAAAACAAAATATGAAGTAGTTCTGGCATTATGGAATGATCAATTGAGCATGTGTAGTGTGAATGATGTTTCACCTGTAGGTACTTTAAAGATAGAGGGTGTAGAATGTTGGAAATTAACTGACACAGGTGCTCATCTTCCCTGCTAAGTGCAGACTTGTTAAAGAGAAATTTGAAGTTACTAGTTAATGAATAAAAGGAAGTTTGAAAAAGTACTTCCATCAAATTATGTTCCATAAAAGAGCATCCTCTTTTTCTCGAAAATTGAGCACTCATTTCATATCTGTAGCCAGATAGAATTAGAGAAAGATGGCATATTAGGGTAAAATATCTTAAGAAATCATGGCACGGAAATTTCCATTACCAGAAATAAGTTATACATAGAAACAGTGATTATAAGTATTGAAGGAGTTATATCTTCAGACGTATGGGTAAAAGTCGAGGTGGGTGATACCTTTTTACTGACTCAAACTAGTAGGAAGGCAATTAAAGAAAGATGGCATATTAGGGTAAAATATCTTAAGAAATCATGGCACGGAAATTTCCATTACCAGAAATAAGTTATACATAGAAACAGTGATTATAAGTATTGAAGGAGTTATATCTTCAGACGTATGGGTAAAAGTCGAGGTGGGTGATACCTTTTTACTGACTCAAACTAGAAGGAAGGCAAAGGATAGAAAGTCAGAATGCAAGTGCACTGATACTTCTAAGCCCGTTGATACATGACAAAGTTTAAATGGTAGTACAATCAAATATTATACAAGCAATCAGGCTAGTGGTAATAAAAAGAAAAACTCTAAGCTTACTAGTAGTCACTGTAGTAAAGAAAAAGCAAGAAGGAGCATAGGATCTGTAAGATAAGCAGCAAAAAACAGCAGTGACGTGAGTCGAGATAAAATTAAGATAGAGAACCTTATCTTTTGCAATGGGTAAGTGAAATTATGTATGTCATGACCATTTACGGAGTTATATCCAAAACCTAATTAAACTACTTTATTATCAATGTGTATTAATACACTTGGCATCAAAATGTAGTTAATAAATCAAATTTTAATATTATATTATAAATATCTTAATATCTCATCAATCTCCCCTAATATAAGAATTGTGACATTTGTTCTCTAGGCTTTCCCCCTTCTCTATTTTATTTACCACTATATGAAGTATGCATATAACATAAATTATTCATTATAATATATATATATATATTACTAAGGCAAAGTCCAATTTTTATAACCTTCTTATTTATAGAGTCATAAACTATAAAATCAGACTCATTTATCATGCTCTCCTGTTACAAATTCTCAATAATTCTCTCTTATATTTTACATTATGTTATTTATAGCCAATAATAAGGTAAAGTTTTAGTCTATCAAATGATGTATAATGCTACGTTGTGTTCAATACAGAGTATTGTCTATTTCGTCTTGAGTTTGAAATTTCATCTCAAGATCTTCATATTGAGTAGCTAAAAAAATATTTTAAGCTATTCTTGCTTTAGTTAGAAAACCAGTTAAATTTTAATAGTTATAGACATTGTTTACTTTGTGCATGTTATTATTTTGTGTTCTGCTATCATCCTGTATTGTTAGGTATATTATTTAAGTAAATAAAAATTATCTAGTGTACTAGTATCATCATTATAAGAAAGTAGTCTTAACTTTTATCAGCAACTGATAAAAAACAGCAAAAATAAACAACAACAACAAAAGGTTAAATGTAAGAACTATATTTTTTGTTTTTCATGTATATTTTTTATTTATTGTTATAGAAATGAGAAACTTGTTAGGTTAGATTAGGTAAAATAATGAAAAAAAATAATATAAATTCTTCACAAGGTATGCTCATGAGCAGCTCGTGCATTATGTCATTGAATACAGTAATGTGAGATGTGTATTTGCCGAGTGATTTACAACTTGTATGGTAGGATTATAATTTAAAACATGGTTCAAAGGACCATACAACAATAAAATTAAGTATAAACAAATGTAGGCTGTTAATGTCATTGAATACAGTAATGTGAGATGTGTATTTGACGAGTGATTTACAACTTGTATGGTAGGATTATAATTTAAAACATAAAGCAATAAAATTAAGTATAAACAAATGTAGGCTGTTAATAGCCTTAAGCTATTTATTATAAACAATTATAGTTTTCTTTTAGAATCTGCAGTCATTCTAGAAAGGAAAAAAAATAGATTTATTTCATATTTTTATATGTAAAAGTGCATAATTTAGACGACTTAATGATGAGCAAAGGAGTAAGGTTACTTAAAAATTTATAATATTACACAAAAATTAAAAAGGTAAATATTACATTTCCTTTAATATTGCTGCACCGGTCAGGCCCATCAATCAAAGTACTTCATCAACATGTATTTACTTCAAAATTAAAAAAGGTAAATATTACATTTCCTTTAATATTGCTGCACCGGTCAGTAATACCAATCAAAGTATTTCACCAGTATGTAAATGAATTAAGAGAAATATTTAAGGAAAAGAAAGCTAGCAACTCTCAAGGTTAAAATTTCATGACCTAGCCAGATTTAAAAAGAAAAAGAATACTAAAAGCGATAACTGAAATAGTCAAATTAAATAATTTAGAGAGACGGGATTTTAATTAGGAAGAAATTAAGTAGAGAGATAAGAAAATTCCTTAATGTAAATACCAAATTGATGAAGTTAACTAATTAGAAAGCAGAATTATTAATTCAAAATCATTAGGCAAAATTTGGTTGGGCATAGACAAATTGGTAGTTAGAAAAGTAGTGAGTAGAGAGGAACTAATTAAGACCACAAGAAAACAATGAGTGAATCTTATACCCACAGACCTTAAAAATTATGTTTGTTCATGGTGAATCATGATTACGAAGCCCGACGTTCAAGACTGGCAAGAGGGTATTTACGCAAGAAATATTACAGATTACTTCTGGTAGTACGTGAAACACTATGGAATTTAAGCAAAGAGGTGAAGTTACATCATAATGACGAACTAGAAAATTGAGGAATTGTGCATGTGACACATAAATAAATTAGATAACGTTATGTATATTGAGTTAGTGTTATATAACATTACAATGCCCACCCACAGAAAGAAGTTTAATAGTGGAAATTGTCGGGGTCTTTGTAGCCGAAGTCTATGAGGTTGAGAAATTGGCCATAAAATCATACTTTTCCTCATGGAAGGAAGCATCTCAGTTTACACCACTCTACCCTGAAGGACTAGTGAGGATTGATGTCAGACAACATGGTCAACAGTGTTCATCAACACCTCAGAATGGGAGAATGGTAAATATTATTACTTGGGACTGTTTACCATCTTTGCATGATAAACCAGAGGTTTACAAAATGGAGTTATATGATTAACAAGACTTGTGTGAATGCTGAGGACTGGAACTTCCCATCCTATGGACAGATGGACATGTGAGCTGTGTGCCCTTACTATATTGAACTGTATCCTTACTGTTGTACTTGGAAAGTGAATGTCTTGTACTACTGGTTAAGAACTTCAGTTGCTCGTACCCTGTGTAATGGAGACTTTTAACCGTGATGTGAGGATAAATGAATATACGCACCTTTAAGTGAGATATGTGCAATATATGTTAAGTCGTTAATGTCTACCAATATATTATGCATGAAACATCTTGAATATCCAATTTAGATTATACGAATATCTATGTAAAGTGTATTAAACCTAAACAATATCTTTATTAAGTAAGCTATTGTATGTTACCTCGCTAAAATTATTGTGAAACATACAATTAGAAGTTTTGAAACACGTGGAAAACAAATATGGTTATAATATCCAGTATTAATGAATATGATGAAATATAAGTATTTATGATCATATATGTCAAAAAAATATACTCGTATGCATATATATATATACATCTTACTAATTATAGAGATGGAGAAGGTTATAACCAATATACTATGGTTTGGCCTCCTTGTAGAAGTGATGATTATTGAATAATGTAATGGAGTAGAAACAGTTAATTGAAATATATCTGTAAATGTTGTTAGATATGGAGGCTGATTAGTGAAATTTTTTATGTTAATAATTTTTCTTCTAAGGGGAAGGGGGATGAAACAAACGCTTATAAAACAGGAAGTTGTGAATAAGTTGTTTAGTATTGATCAGCATTTGAGAAACTTAGCCGAAAAGTATAATCGTGTAGTATCGAGAGGCGGTATATTTCTTTGTTATTAATAGCTACCAAATATTTGTTTTGAGATAGTTGACCTTACAAGAAAATAAAATACCAGTAGTATTTAAGTCTAGCAATAGGTGTATATACAAACACTAGACTTTCAATTGGGAATTCTTGTAATTAATCAGGTGGTTCCTATTATCATAGCAAGCACATCTTACTTAAATCATTACCCACTTTTCTTCATTACCAATTCAAGCCGTCTCCAAGCATTATTAGTCTCAAAGTGGGTTCCTCGTCATCGAAGAACAAGATGTTGTGAACTGATATGCATGCTAATCCAAAAACGAGTAGTTTGATCAAGAGTGATCGAGTTGTTGCTTAGAATTTTAGATGAACTTTCTGAAAAAGTAACTTAGTTACTTCAGTAAAGATATTATTTTATGTATTGTATATTATAGTGAAAAAAATTTTGTAATTTATGATATTCAAGCTCTCTTCCGGAATCCTTACTCTGTATATAGATTCCTTCAATGTCCTTGTATCCAAACAAACAGTATTTGTAGTACGTATCCCTAAACCTCTGACCTACCTTTACAGTAAAGACAGCATTAATCTAATTTTTATACCAAACTGTATAAGTATGAAAGCACTGGTTCATTCTTTGGATGTATAACATAAAGTATAATTATTAGTTTTTAGAAACGTATATAAAACATTTGACAAAACCGGAATACATCAGCACCTTTTTGATAAAAAAAAAATGTAGCGTTTTAAGTTTGTTATCTATTTGTGGAATTCTCAGATGTGAAGGTTTTCTTAAGTTATGAAATGCCTAAACATGTATGATAACAGAGGATAAGAACAAACTAATGACATGTTCAGTCATTAAGTACTGTAGTAAAGGTCTAGTGGTTTGTACTTGTATTTCAAAGTAAATTAAAAATGTTCTACAGGAAAGCAAGGCATTCTATAAAAATATAGAAGTTCTAATACCTGTTCAGATGTTACTTTTTTGGCAATACAAAATAAAAAACATTTCCAAAGGTTCACATATGTGATTGGATCTTTTCTATGATATTCTTTGTTTGTTTTGTATAAAAATGACCGAGCTTGACAATCTTTTAACAAACAGGATCAACAACAACCTTTGATGATTTGCTCACGAACCATATGACTCAACATTTGTCTACACAAGTGCTCGCACCGCTCCCAATAGATAATTTTATCGCTTATCCCTAGTGGTACTCTTTGAATATATCTGCCCTCTGGCGTAAGAGGTCCCTTGACATCCCTGTCTCAAACGATATACCGCCACTTGATGATACACAACGGGCGCCTCTGACAATTAATAAATCTTCTGATAGTGAAATACGATATTGAAGTTTGCATGTTTATGGTAAACCTTCAAATTTATAGCATACCACTTGTTGGACTAGACTAACGTTTTCTAAATCGAAGCAGTCTTATTACACTTTAAGTCTACTAAGCATAAATACTACATGCAGCATAAACATTAGGGAGATAATTCGCAAATTTTATTTTGATGCAATATTCTGTGTAAAGTATAAATTTTACTACCAACAAAAATTAATTCTAAAATAAGGTATAGCTTACCGGAAGAGCGAGTATGTCAGAATGGTCAGTATCAAACCAAAGATAGACATCACACAGCCGATATAGGAAATAACGGATAGCGCCTCTTGATGATCAGAATTAATTCGATCTGTTGGGATTGGGTCCTGGAAAAAGTATATATATATATGTTTGCGAGATAGTTTTTAAACACGTTTAGGTATTTACCAGCAATATATATCTGGTGTGAGAAATTAATTTCAAAAATACCTGCAATCAAACTTTTCTAAATATTTTAACAATTGAATTGATTATTTCCTAATTAAGTCCCCCACCTCAAACAGAGTTCACGCCATAAAATATCTATCCAAATACACTGCAATCAAAGTTCAACTTGTTACGTTTTACTGGCATGTAATGCGACACTAAGTTGTTATAATGATATCAAGTGTTCTGCTGATGACTGAGTTAGATGAACCAAGAAACTTTATGTGATTTGTCATATTGTCTTTATTGTTAGACTCCAAATAGTTAGCGCCCAATTAGTTCTTGACAACGTTTCGGATGATCTTTCTTTATGTTTCTTTAATCCACAAATTGAATAAGTCAATATAAGTTTGCCAGTATGTGTTAGGAAGTTATATTTACTGAGAGATATCGCTAGAACTGTTACACCATCTAATTTCATAACAAAATGGCATTTACTGATAGATGTCGTTAGAGCTGTAACACCATTTAATTCTACCTCCTAGAATATTTTAAGGGAATGTTTATAAATAACATTCATAAATCCTTTTTTCCTTTAATGAGTTAATGACTTTATGGGGATTCATCAGCAAAGTAGCCAAGTTTATGTGGTAGTTTCGCTGCAATATCCTTCACCGTGGCAAATCCTTGTTACAAGAAATAAGAAATAAATCGCTTCTGTATGTTCTTATGAAAGCGGCCAAAACCAGTTGTTTAATAATGTTTTCAAAAGCCAGTGTATGTTCAGTGTCTAACAAAACGTTTTTCATATATATAAATAGTTTTGTTCATCATGTATAACCCGAAGTCACAACCCTCTTTCGGATGAACCACAAAAACTTACTGTAAATTCAAGAATAGTTTGATCGTAAGCATATTAAAGATTTCAAGTTATGGCATCATTCCAAAAACATATTATAATGACATTGTAAGAAACATGTGGAATAAAAGTACACGTTTTAAATTCAGAGTAATCTTGATGCCAATTATCAACAAATCATTGACATTTATTGTCTCCTTGACCTTTATATAATTTTACGAATATTATTTGAATAAATAAAACGTATAAACCAAACAAATAATTAAGGAATACTCACCAATAGAATCGAAAAAGTTGTCATATGAGTTGAAGCACATATTGTCCAGTTTCCAGTTTGATTCGTTGAAAGACCATTTGTTACCCATGTACGTTCTAAGAAGAATAGAGTATCTTAGAGTTATATATACGTATGCTTGTTTGTTTGTTTGTTTTTGAATTCGCGCAAAGCTACACGAGGGCTATCTGCGCTAGCCGTCCCTAATTTAGGGAAGGCAGCTAGTCATCACCACCCACCGCCAACTCTTGGGCTACTCTTTTACCAACGAATAGTGGGATTGACCGTTACATAATAACGCCCCCACGGCTGAAAGGGCGAGCATGTTTTGGTGCGACGGGGATTCGAACCCGCGACCCTTAGATTGCGAGTCGAGCACCCTAACCAGCTGGCCATGCCGGGCCCTATACGTATGCAATAGACACTATTTTACCAATCTTGTTTAATATTTGGCCTCAGTTTACTTAATAATAAAATGGACGTTTTTCCTTAAGTATATTATTAATTTACTCTAGACTTGCTCCTTTTATCTAGATTAAAATATATTTGTTCAGATGTGGTTTATGTTTTAATCGAAATTAATATCATAAATAAATTTCAAGGTAAAAAATAAATAAGAGAAAGCGTAAGATCTCGATTACACTATGCTGAATTATACACATTGAAGTCAGTTCAGATGCATTATTATAAAACTAAATTCTAGTAACAAATAAAACTTCCATTTGTAAGAAACTTTCCTAGCAAAAGTATTCTACATTTTAAAAAACAACCGTGAACTAACTTAAAAAATACGTGTTCTTCCCCTTGTTTTTAGTTATGGCTTGGTATAAAGAAACTATATTGGTACTACCACTATAAGTAGTTGAAGAGATAGCAGCATATTTACGTATTAATTATTTAGATAATTACCTATAGTTTCATATTAAACGTATTCACTTCCTTCCAAACTCTAGAATATGGATATAATATTAAATACTCGTTATGATAATTTAATAAAATAAATAACCATAAAAACGAATTTAACTCAATTTATCTCAATACTGATTTTTAATTTTCTCGAAAAAGAAAATTTGTTGAATGAAAAGAATAAGAAACGTGAAACAAAATAAGGACATAAAGATTTTCGTTATTTCATAAAATCCTAAGTGACGACTGGAGTAATGAAGTTGTATGAAAACAAAAGTAAGACCTAAATCCCCCGATATTTTTTTATTATTATTCGAGAGCTCGGAGAATTAATCAAACAAAAAGAAATGCCTTTTTGGGTTCCTTGATCTCTCTATTATTTTGGTCAATTTATTTGAGGACTTTGTGCTATTTAAAATGTTTTTACATTATCAGTCCAATTAGGAAAAAAACAGCTTTATGTCAAATTCAATAAAGACAAAGCTTAGCATTATGTTTTTTCTCTTTTTTCTTTTCGTAAGTAATTACGGATATGAAGCAAGTCCACTAGATCAAACACTATGAACTATGCCAGTATAAGGAATAATGGTTATCAAATACACTCCAAAAAACGTGCCCCCTGTGGCACAGCGGTAAGTCTGCGGACTTATAACGATAGAAATCGTGGTGAGCACGGCAGAGATAGCCCATTGTTTAGCTTTGTGCTTAATTATAAACAAACAGCAAAAAACGTTATGACAGATGCAGTACTCAAAAATATGATTATCAAGTATGTAGCATTAAATGTTATGGCGATCTTACAGCACTACAATAAGTGATTACTAATGTTTGAGCGACAATCCCGTGCTAATATGATTCTCAAGTTTAATTCATTTAAACATATGAAAGTGTTCCACTACATAGTAATGTGGTTATTACGATATGATACTTTTTCAAGGATTTTTCATCAAACGTTATGGAGGTATTCCAGTAATGAGAGAGGTCTGGTAATGAAATGTACTTCTTCTAACGTTATGAAGATATTTCAGTATTTAAAAAGACGATGATGAAAGGTACTGAAAAGTTATGACAGCATTTCAGGAATCAAAAAGGTGACTATCATGTGCATTGCATCAAGCGTTATGACAGTATTTTGGTTATTAAGAAAAGTGATTATAACATATACTGTATTAAACTTTACTACTGTACTGAGAAAAATGATCATCAGTGTACTACATTAAACGTTTCAACGGCATTCTAATACGCATAAAGGTGGTTAAGAAGTATACTACGTAAAACATTATGAACTAGCCCGCAAAACGACTGCAGTAGTTTTGATACCATTCGCTTCAATTTTCCTTATTCTATCATTTACACGCACGCCATTCAAGCTACGCTTTCTTGTAGGTATTATGTATTGGATCGATAAATCCTGGTCTACTACTTACGCGGTAAGACAAACAAACTCACGTAGACTTAACTTTATTTAATAAACCACACGTAAAGTGAACAATAAAGTAATGGTATTTATAATAATGTACAGAATATGAAATAGTTATGAGCGTACAGTGTATTACACGATTTCAGAAGATGAAACAAAGAAACTCGCAAATGCAAAGAATAAAACCCGTACTAAAGGAGTGGTAGCAAAGAGGTATTTATAGCTCAATTATTGCAAAGGAAATTAAATGTAAAATTGTAATGAAGACAAATTTACCTGAATATGCAGAAACGTCTTAATGAGTGTTCATAAAGTGATAAGCATATGGTTTTGAACGAACGGCGCATGCATATTTTAGACCTAAATAAGTAGTGAAAACCCACATCAATTGTATTTTGTGTTGCGTATTTAGTATTTCGTTTTTTTTTTAGAAATTTATACGCGGGTTATGGGTTATGCGAAATACTTTGCAAATAAAAACTAAAGTCGGAATCGAAGCCAGTCGTCACGTGATAACAACGAAATTGTGCCATCGTGTAGCGTACTCGTTGCCTTAAAAAGTTTGACTAAGCAAAAAACAGGTAAGATTATTTTGAATGAAAAGCCATTATGCAATCCGGACTCCTCAGACAAATGCCTTTTTAACGATATGAGAAATGTGTGAGAAAAGTTCCGTAAAATCAACCACAAGTATATTATATATCTAGATGTACTACAGTAATGACAGATGTGATTATCACGAGTACTAATTATTCAGAAAGGTGATCATTGAATATACTGTATCAAAAGTTAGTTATAGTGATAATCCAGTCCTGAGAAGTGAGTATCATATGTGATGGATTAGAGATACGACGATATTCCAATTACTGAGATAAGTTTTCATCAAGAGTACTGCATCAAATATACATTACTCTCATTACATAACGGTATTAAAACAGTGAAATAAATATCAAGTGTGCTGTATAAAAGATTAAAACAGCATATTAGTACGAAAAATGATATCAACGAGAACTCGTATCAATAAGCTTTTTGTTTTCCAAACATAATTTTCCACAGAAATCGTATAATTTACCTCAAGAAGAATAGAAAATATTTTCTGTATCTTAGAAATCATACCTGTTTGGTTATAATATTAGTAATTTTGATTATATATTAGAGGCATACAAATCATTTGTGAAATATTATAAAAATGCAAGTCTCATAAGGAAAAATAAAGTTATATAAACACTCATTACAGCTATAGAAAGACAAAATTACACATGAAAGCTTTGAAATCGTGTGCGCCATAAAGCTACTTTTTTTTAGGCTTATATGCTCATTTTATTAGTTTCCTTGCTAGAATGTTTGAAGTGAATTTTGTGAACGTTTTTGTGAATCGTGCTTACAGAATAAGTGATGGTTTGCTACTTTTAATGTCCTTATTGCGCACGTTTCACTAATAAGTGATTAATTCTTGGTTTAAAAGAACCTACTCATAGTAAATCTGAGAACTCAAGTATTGACATTATTTTGGACAAACTGTAATGTTGATCTCTTATCTTCTATTTTTATGATAATTAGTAAATCTAAGTACAAGTATCATTTGCAAATTCGAAAATGTTTAGTTGTTGCTAAAGCTAAATTATTGCTAAAATAATGCTAAAGTTAAATGATTGCTAAATTGATATTAAAGTTAAGTAATTGCTAACCTGGTGTTAAAGCCAAGTGGTTTCTAAACTGTTGCTAAAGTAAAGTGATTGCTAGCCTGAGCTGTGGTTAAGTAATTGTTAACCTGGTGTTAAAGCCAAGTGGTTTCTAAACTGTTGCTAAAGTAAAGTGATTGCTAACCTGAGCTGCAGTTAAGTAATTTTTAACCTGGTGTTAAAGCCAAGTGGTTTCTAAACTGTTGCTAAAGTAAAGTGATTGCCAACCTGAACTGCAGTTAAGTAACTGTTAACCTGGTGTTAAAGCCAAGTGGTTTCTAAACTGTTGCTAAAGTAAAGTGATTGCCAACCTGAACTGCAGTTAAGTAACTGTTAACCTGGTGTTAAAGCCATGTGGTTTCTAAACTGATGCTAAAGTTAAGTGATTGGTAACCTTATGCTAAAGCTAAGTGGTTCCTAACGTGATGTTAAAGCTAAGTGATTGATTGCTAACCTGATGTTAAAGCTAAGTGGCTTCTAACCTGATTTTGAATCAAAGTGTAAGTTTATTGCAATTGTAATAACATAGAATGGACCAAGCTCATTTTGCATCATTGTGCCATGATATCAACAGATTGAATTTATAACTTTAATTTCAATATAAACCCTTTCAACTTATTAACAAATATCAATATATGCAAATAGAAATTATTATAAAACTATCTGTTTCAGAAAAAAAGTAACATTTCAAATCGCATTTGTAACTCTCTGGCCACATTTTCTTAACGTTTGAATGATTAATAAATCTTGCTAATATTTTTATAAAGATTCAAACTGTTCTCCTAAAAATGTCATAACAGGTTCACAGGGATTTGTTTGTTGTTAAACGCAAAGCTACACAATAGGCTATCTATGCTGTGCCCATCACGGGTATCGAAACCAGATTTTTAGCGTTATAAGCCTTCAAACGTACAGCTGAGCCTCCGGGGGGGGGTTCAAAGGGGCAAAAACAAACAACCAAGAACATAGAAAGCAGTGATTTGCTGAAACTTGTGCTATAACACAGTTTTCTGTTTGATTTTATCAACTTTGAGCACCTTTCTCGTTCCAATATACACAGATAATTCGTCTCTCTTCTGGAGTGGCCATGACGTAGACAAGCGGTTCTGTAAGATTAGTAATGTGCAGGGTATTAATGCTTGCTTGGAGCACATTTCGATCTGGAAACGAAAAGAAAAAAGTTATTATAAGCTCTATCTCGTTGGCTGAAATTATGAATGACAAATTAACTTGGAACGTTACTCAAATTATTGCCTATAATTTGGCTTATATTAAGTTTGGAACTTGTACATAAAAGAGAGAACACTGTACTCTTCCCCTAAGATACTGGATACTGCAAATACTAGACGATAAAACTAAAAAGTCTAGTTTCTATAATTTGAGATCGTGTAAACCTATACGTAAGATAAATGTATAAATGTGAAATCCGAATGTATCTTAAAAGTTAAGGTAATGAAGAATTATAGTAAAATTAGTTTTTCGGAAGTTGCATAATGCATATTTTTAAATAGAGTTCAAAGATTTGGAAAACTAACACATAAAACACACTTTTTAAATATCTTAAATATTTTAAACGACATTTTTAGCTGACGCCGTTCCTCAAATAAGTGTAGGCCATGTTTCAATATAAACCTATAATTTCAAATTGACACAATAAAAACATAAATGACATCTTAGTTCAATCTTGAATGACAAAATATGCCAACTTTCAGTACTGTGTGCAGTGATGCAATCGCTATCGATGCATTTATTTTATTACATCGACACCATTGTTCATCAATAAAACCCCGTTTAACTTATAAAATCAAAAGTTGATTCAGCTGTGCATCCAAGCATCTATATTGTGGCGGGACAAATTTTGCATAGTAGAAACTGTACGCATACTAGTAGAAGGAGCCCATGCACATATACATTCATAGCGCCCAAAACTGTAATCCACATAATCCTTTGGAGAAATATTTCAAGCAGCATGCTCACAATGTTATCCCTTCGGAATATCCACAGCGTTCCACCAGAAGAAAAAGATAATAGGAGGAAAATGAGCTAATATATTAACTTGCCACGATTAAATTGATTTTTCTAAGTATATATTTTATTACATTTAATGTTATTATTACTTTTTTTATTCTTTATTTTCTGTAAGAAAAACTGTCCTTTTAACATCGAATAGTCATCTATTATTGTTAGAATAAGGACGCGTCGCATTTGCCTCAGTTGTCTTTACCATATCATCATCAATAATCTTATATTGTTTCTTTAGTTACACTTTTCTTCAAACTACTATTTTGTTTTTGAATTAGCTCAACTATTTTACAGTTTTAATTGCCTACCGAATTGAATCACGGACATGCATCTTTAGGAATATTAAGAAAACCGCGTTTTGAGATAGCATTACGCTCATCAAAACAAAGATGTTGAAAACTAAAAACATATGTTTTTCAGTTAATGGTTATTCCTTTGATGTTAATTTCCCTATCCTTCACCTTGGAGTTAATCGCACCATCGCACTGAAAATGAAGAAAAATTTATTATCATGATTATAATGAAATACTTAAGCCTCATTTTTAATGGATAACTGTTGTTGTTTTAATGAACGAGGAAAAAACGCATTGACAGTATAAGTAGTTTTTATTGCAAATGTTAGGCTTGTTGGATTCTACTGTTTTATTAGTTTTCGGTGTTCATTATCGTGGCGTCCATCATAAAAGCACCCAAAATTCTTCTAATTGTAAGGAAAGCATGAAAATTTTCATATATATGTAGATTTTTTTAGATGAAGATTCATAACAAAGTAAGACCCATTGCAGATCTTTCCCCAATCATTCACCATCTTGGATTCCAATATGGCTGTCGTTGATTGTTATTAAGCACAAAGCTACAGAAAGGGCTATCTGTGCTCTGCCTACCACCAGTATTGAAACCGCTTTCTAGCGGTATAAGTCAGCAGATATACCGCTGTGCCACTGTTAGGCGCCATTATGGCCAACATTCTAAACAAACCTTGCTCAAACCATACGTTTAAAATGCACATAGAATTGTCATCTAAATACCTAAGCTTTGACAAAGACTTTTCTCCAAACAGGCACCAGCATCATGGCCATCATTAAAAACCAATATTACTATTACTATTAATATTCATAGAAGTATCATCTAAATACCTAAGCTTTCGCATTCATGGTCTGTGATACTGTGCCAGCCTTCTTTGTATATGGAAAGGAAATTGAAGTTGTGACATGGAAAGCATACCCTGATATAACTACAGCATTTTCAAATTTTTCAGAAACACCACAAGAAATCATGAAGGAGAATCTTGCATGAATAGAATGTTTCATTGTATTATTGTACATCTGCACTTGCATAATTATTAACGCGAACAAGGCCCAATAAGCACACTTTGCCCAAGGAACAGAAACAAGAGGAAAACATTCTAGCAATGCAAACCGATCTTGAGTTTCATGCAAAAACAGCTGCTTACCAGGCTGAGCATATATGGGGTCAATCACTAGTGCCGGAACATGATGTGCCGACTCCAGGTGAGTGGGGTTGTAATCAAGCACCTTTGTGGAGAATGAGCTATCTATGCTCCTGCAAATGCTGCACTAAATGTCATGCATTTACATTGCCTTTGTTTACATCAGTATAGACTATACACGTATTTGGATGCATCATGTGATACTTATTGCATAAATGGCAATAATCTCTGGATACTTTCTAACTTTTAAGTGCCTTAACTGTGATTTTTACTTTTTCCCTTTGAGTTTGAGTACAGTTTACACTGATGATGGATGATGTTTCACATTGTGGTACGCATTTAACCAGTATACATCTTAATACACATCCTTTATAATTGATATAACTATTTGTTTCAAGACTTTTGTGTGTGGCTACTTAAACATGCTTCAATAAAGTTTTATTTTAATGTAGGAAAAATGCCTTCTGAGATGTTATCATTTGATCGAGTACGACATTTGTATTGTATAGTATCTTATACGTCAACTAATAGCCATATTGAAGCTTGGAAGCATCATTCACTAAATTAAATGATATAATTAAATTATCTAAGATAGCGAATGTGGTTTGGGGTATCATGATGACACTTCTATTTAGATTAAAAGTGTAGATTTGTACAAAACTGATGTTTGATTATGGTCTCGTTGGAATTCAGTATGGTTGTTTGGGAAAAATCTTGCATTTATACGAATTTCCAAATGAAATTCTATAAGTAGGCAAAATTTTTAAATATTTAGATGTCATTTCTATGTGCACATGAAGCATATAATTAATAATGATGGTTTTCGATGTCTGCCATATGGGAATAAGAGACGGCTGCTGTTTGGGGTAAAGGCATGCAAAATTTAATGCTTTTTTTCACAATTTGAAGAAAGTTGCTGGACTAGTTGGGATGATATACTGTTGTACTCATGTGCTCTTTACCTATATCGTCATTTAAACGTAAGAAAGCACACGTAATAGCTTATAGCGCTAATTGGACTTAAAAAGAGCATTTACAGAGCAGTTAGGCTTAAAGAGAACTTTACTTATTTTGGAGCTGTATTTTGATTTGTATGTGTATACATAAATTCAAGAAGTAAAGTTACCAAATATCCCACTTTATTTCATCGACTGACTATTATTGGTGTTTTTTCTTTCATAAACATTTCATGCAAGTCTGTTAATTCAACAGAATGTAAGTACTGTTGCCCATTCAGAAAACATTGAAAATGCCCCTCGACTACTTTTATGATATATCCATAGTCTAACGTTTTACATAAAAAATACGGTGATTATAATAATGAAGAAGGTAAAAGACATTCGCTTGGTAACCTTTTCCATGTCAAGTTTTTTGTTTTTGGAAATAAGTTCATAAAAGATAGATTTTTTATTTCGCCTTTTGATAGCTTATTGTAATACATGATTGCATGGTAAACTCGGGCAAATGATTAAAAATACGACGAGAAATGGTTTTCCTGAAATAAGTTTAATTAATATTTTTTTAAACACGAATTGTCTCGAGCAAATCACGGAATGGGTTAATTATATTCTTGTAGCATATAACTAACATTCAGATAACAAACAGAATTAATCATATAAGCTTCGATTACTAACTAAAAGTATTGGATATGATGCATTGATTATTGTACTCGTCATTTTATTTTTCAAATTGGTTGTACCAAACGGAAGTCTAAATGGAGTCTGCTTAGACCTCGTATCCATGTCTTAATTCTTGTGGAAAACAGTGTTTTAAGTTATTTAGGAAAGTTTCTGTCACACAACAATCAGCTAAACTATGATCTTTCTATATCGAATCTCTAAGATGATTCTGTATGTGTTAATTTCATTATTTTCGAATAAACTACGATTTTCACATTGTACTACAATATCCTGCTAGCTCATTTAAATTTTTATGGTTATCAACTTATCAATGCTTTCTGTTTAACACAAAGATACCATTCTCTCTAACCTGAGTGCTTTCGAAAAGTGGGCCTTTCTTCTTCAGGCCAAACTGTTTCGACCTTTAGAAAGTGCTTGGGTTGTAGGATATCGTATTTCTGTGTTAAATTTAATTCTTGAACCTACGTGTTTTCCTAACATCATGTGTACGTCTGTTTGTCATTGTATATTTTATCGAAAAGATTAAGCACTGACATTTATCCATTTCTTTGATAATACAAACTTCGATTTTTAGATCTGGTTTTGTGTGCTACTGTAAACCTAAAGCAAGTAACAAGTATATCATACGTGTAAATACTATAATCTCTATCCATACTTCCACCACTACAAAAGTTGCAAGCTATACATATATTTATAGGCCAACAATACAGATACCTACATGAACTCTTAGGATCTGCAAGTCTACTCCGAAATAATTTGTCGTTCTTATAAACTACAAATTTGACTCGAACTTCTCCTGTGTATTCTTTATCTTGGTGGTTTTCTTACAGGAATTACTGACAACCGTTTCTATAGTTTGATAAAGAATAATACTGGTGGTTTTCTTACAGGAATTACTGATAACTGTTCCTATAGAAGCTGACGAGAGAGTTGATAAATATCAATATTGGTAAATTTCTTACAGGAATTACTAACAACCGTTTCTATAAGAGCTATCGAGAGATTTGATAAAGAATAATACTGATGGTTTTCTTTCAGGAATTACTGATAACCGTGCCCATAGAAGCTGTCGAGAGAGTCTTTAAAAATATTTCCTAAGCTAGGACATAACAGATTATAAAACTTAAAAAAGCACAAAGAATAACATCTTATTCAATCAAATAATAACATTTGCAGACAACGCCTACTATGGTTAGAGAGTGAGGATAATTTATTTTGTTAAACTTTAAGTGAAGCCATAATCTCAAACGCTTTTGATACCGTATCACATGTATTTACCTGTCTCCTTTTAGAGCATCAAAGGATTCGTCAATAGACAAACCTTAACAATACGAATTATTTAACTACAGGATTTGTGTTTGTTGATGTTGTTTTTCAGAGGTTTGGGCAAAGCTACACAAAGACTAGTTGTGTCGCCGTTCCTAATTATATACTGATAGATTAGAGGGAGGTCGGATACTCAACAGCACCCAATATGAATTTTGGGCTATTCAAACTGAATGGAAGGATTTGATCGTCACTATTATAAAACACCCACGGCCCCAAAGTGCAGAGATTGGTTTTGTGGCAACGGGAAACGTATCACGGACCCTCGGTTTCACGCTAACCGCTTGACCTCGCCTGGTCCTATTTACTGGAGAAGTCGTGTCTACAAATTATGCTGTAACTCTTAACAATAAATATATTTATCTATAGAAGAAGACGTGTATAGAAATCAGATTTTAATGTCGAACAATGCATGATATAATATGTGGAGAAAGTGTAACTCATACTATTGTAAATGTGATACCTTTAATATCAAACATACCTTTCTATCACTTTAGTTCTATCACATAATATTCATAATTCAGTTACACTTTTAGACTTTAGTTAGCTGTAGAAGTTCATTAATGATCTCCAGTAATAAGAATCTAAGTAATGTCACACTATCCAGTTGTTGCTATTCTAAGTTATGTCTTGTTTTCAGGCCATGCCATATAAACCTGAATATTGACCATCTCATGTTGTTCATCCTTATTTGACAAAGATACACAGAGATTTCAAGAACCTTTAATCAGTTCAGACTGGAACATTTGGGTAGAATGATATGTATTTCTTTTTTACTGTTTTATAGAGGTAGGGTCCTGTGTATGCATTTTGTGATGTTTTGCAGGGTTTTAATGAGAAAGAAAGAATTGTTTAGTGACTCCCCTGAGTTTTCTTTACTTAATCTCGTACTTTCACTATTACTGAGGTCTTAAATATTCCCGCACACCTGTTGACTGAATTTGGTTGAACCCTTCGATGGTTCATTTGATTTGTGTGCCCTTATTCCTAACGTAAAGAGTACTGCAAACGTACATTATATACGATTAAAAGGAGTACAATGTACATTTACATCAAGGAGGAGAGTAGAAATGTATATAACCAATTAATGGTAGACACATACCATAACAACAGGCACACTGATGTTCAACAGATAAAAATCAAGCATCCCCAAAACAAAGGTTTCAGAATAATTATGCAGAGTTAAAAACAGTTATGAGAACAAAGGAAATGCATACATTCAATTATGTAAATGAAAACAAAATTATCTATTCATACAATATGTATGTCTGGACTTACTGATCGACTTCAGATTTTTCAGTACAACTCTTACTGGCTACTAAGGCAGAGCGAAGAATTCCAAACGTCTATACGAGACGAAGACAATATGTAAAGAGGGAGATTGGAATAATAAGTAAAAGAATCATTTTGATCTGCCATTTTTAGTTTTACACTGAGGATCTAGTGTGGTGTCGCACAAACCTTAGTTTAATTACGTAGACGATCTGTGCAAATAAGCATATTAAAGGGTGTTAATCTACAACCCATACCAACTTCTACAAGTCTCTGTACCACTCCTTTGGAATCAGTATGACCTCACTCCAGGAGGACTGACACAGAAAATGGTCCAAAAGATATATTATATAAACCTTAAATAAACAAATGGATTAACGTACCTTCTGATATACACTTTACAAGAACAAAAATAAAACAAATTGCCTGAATACACCTAAATAAAGACATATATAATACTAGTTATGTAAGGCGAAATTAGAAGTTCTTTCAACTGTTTCACGGGGAGTAGAAATGATGATCGGCGGACGTCGAAAGCATCACACTTACCATTCTGCATTATGATATTAGCGTATTATGATTCCTAATATTTATTGTATCTATTTGCATTTCTATTATTATATAGTTTTATTATACGCTTTATTTTGTATTGTTATCTTAGTATATGGATTTAGGGCTAACCTATCCTTTCTAAGATGGCCGAACCTTGTGAGATATTATTGACATTACAACTGAAATTCGACATCAAACTGATGAAACAATGCATTATAATCATTATAAACAAGAACGTAAGAACAGTATATTAAATCAGCTATACTCATTTCTTGGGGTTTTTTAGTTCTGCTTTATGCAAATAGTTTGTTTCGATCAGAAGCTAATTATTTGTAATCTCGTTGCTTTAGACTCATGCCTTCGCTTAGGCTGTCCATTGCGCAATGACTGTATAAAAATTAGTGTTTTTGTAGCCATTTTTATCAGTCTCAGAAATAATTTAACAACTTAAAAATATAAGTATAAATATAATTAAGTAATATGATGGTGCGTTTATGTATCCACTACAGTTGGAAAATGTATTTTATACAAAGGACTCTACCTATAATAAATAATTTATTTTGTAAAAAGTCCCTTACCTATCTCTTACCTAGTTACTAGTTATGATAATTATGATAATCATAAGACACTGAATAGAAACGTGTGCATTTATCTCATGAGCCACCCACCCTTCCCTGATGTTAGATCCCGTGTTTCCGAGCATCTCCATCGTCAAACAACTCCGGTACTGATATCAGTCTGTTTCCACTACTGCGCGTAATAACTGTATTGAGACTCCAGAAAACACAAATACATTTATTTGTAAAACGAAATACATTTATAGAAACTCCTAACATGTAAATACATTATTCCTCACACTGATTTATAAGGTTCCCAAGTGGTTCAACGATTAGCCTGAAGGCTTATAACGCTAAAAAGCGGGTTTCGATACCCGTGGTGGGCACGGCACAGATATATCATTGTGTAGCTTTGTGCTTAACTACAAACAAAACGGATTTATAAGGCACTAGTATAAATGTTCTAGAATATTTACAAAAAAATGTACTAATAAATATTTTATATTCACCAAAGCGTCTTTGAAAACATATACTGATTTGATACATTTAAATGTGCACCAATGTAATTCTGTAAAAGGTAATACTGATGCAGAAATCTAAGATTTTAAATACGAAAAAACATAAGTTATTTTTATCATCATTCGAAGTAGCCGAGTTACTTACTTCTTTCCTTTCATTACTCTGAGTAGTAATGTTATTTGTAATTTTAGATACAGTCTTTTGTTTTACTTCATAGTTTTGGTAGTTTGGTGAGAAAGTCAAAAACTCTTCAGCGTTAAAGTAAAGTTCATGGCCCCAGGATAAAGCTTTCAGTGCAATATTGTGCGTATTAAGAACTACGCTTTGTCCTTGTTCAAGTTTAACTTGGGCCGTATACTTATCCACCACTTCAAGTAACCTAAGGAAAGAAAACAAGTTATAAAGAAATTATTTTTGCAATAGTCAATTAACAAAATTATTTTGCTAGAAATGTTGTTTTTCTATTTTTTGTTTTTGTATAAAGATGGCATTAATACGTACAAGCATCACGTGGTTTGACTTGAGCGAATTTTTCAAATAATCATAACAGTACAAGTGCGATAATTCAATATGTTTTATGAAAGTGCCTTTCCTTGCTCAATACACCTTGGTTTACAATTTTCTGCCAGCTTTGGTAGCCGATAATACCAAACATGAAAAAACAGACACTTATAATACCATTTACTATGCAAGGCTTTTGACTTTTGACACTTATGAATTTATCTTTAGTCATAACATGTTCATTCATTTATAATGATGTTTTGCTAGTTTCTGCAGGAAAATTTTTTCCTAGAATGTTGACATGCTAGCTAGACGAGTGTTGACCTAGAAAATAAAAGAAAATTTTCTGATCCCAAATACTCACACCTGAACGGAAGATTTTCAATTTTGTTATGTTACACTAATTTTCAAATTCATGTTTTCGTGTTCATTATTCTACTATTGTAAGAAAAAATAAGTATATCCGATTAATACTATATATAGCTTTTACAGACATATTCGCAAATGTTACACATACGATACTCAAGCTTGATAACGTATATGATGAAAAACTCAGAGTACTGTTCATGTGATTGCATCATTAAATAATAAATAACCCCAAACATGCAAAGAAAGGAAAATGCTTATAACTTCACAAAACATTAATACTCCATGTTTCTCTTTACAGCTTCGTCATCAACAAGATATTATTTTGCATTAAATAAGTAGATATTTTTAGAATATGCGAAATATGATAAATAATAATCAGAATGAGCTTCAGTATTTATAAAGCAAATTATCGTTTTGATATATTTTACAAATCGAACCTGCTCGTGGTGTTTTCACTGTCGTCTGCTTCGGCCAGGACACTGTCGTTTACAGCTAGCATGTTACTTATGACTGAAAACATTCTTTGGGCAATCTAGAGATAATAGTTGGATGATATTATTATTATGTTCATGATGAATAATTTACTCTGAGAAATAGACAGGTGTTTTAAATACGAAAGCGTGCAATTACAATGAACTCTGTATTCAAAAATCTTTCTTTATTGTTCAAGCAGGAATCACAAAGTATTGCGTTAGTTTCAGCAACACTTTCAGACTTTGCAACTTATAATAAAATTCAAAAGTTATTTTTTATTTTCGCTCACTAATAGCACACTTAAGACTTTGAAAAATGTAATAACTGGATAAAAATGTGAATTTCAACAGGCAGTACTACACGAGATTAATCACAAACAAACATCTGAAAACTCCATGTAAGAAACATGATAATGTTAAAACTATTTCCAGAATTAAATAATTAATGAGAAATAAATAATAAAAGACTTAGTATTCTCTGAATGCACGTGTTTTCTAATATTTTTATAAAATTGAAACCAAACAAGTAATCACGATTACAGTAAATTAATAACACAGGCCTGCAATTGTAAACTTCATAAAAGTTGTTTGGGTTTTAATAACGGATTTCCCATAATTCAGCCACGCATATTTCAAAAATATTATTCATTTTTTTCTATCACGCAAGGAGTTTTTACAAATCGGGAAGAAAAAAACTCTTACTTAGATCAAATTATTATTTCATTTACTACAATGAAAATTTGTTATTATTATGTTTGTTAACAAAAATGCAAACAAATTAAAGGGAAGAACATTGATGTCAAACGAATATGCATCCTTCTCCATCCTGATTTTTTTTTGTGAAATCTACGTCTTTTAGTCTCAAAACCACGTGTTGTGGTCTTTCTTTTGTGTACTGACGTTTAATGAAAACTCTGTAAGTGATGGAGAAAAAGGGACATCATTTTCGGATTAAGTACACAGGAATTTCTGTAGAACATGTAAACATTTCAAGATATTAAAACCACAGCAGGCCTGTGTTATCAAAAAGTATGAATGAGAAACTGGTTAAATCATTTTTCGAACAAATAGGTTAAATTTACGAAACTATTCTAATAAACTATTTAAAGCTTAATTTGAATTTAGTTTAATGTTTTCTTTACCACCAGTCTGAAATTTAGGTGAAATCATATGTTGGTTATTAAAAGACTCAACTGAGTGATGTTGACTATTAGGCACATCTCCGTTAAAGACTCAACTGAGTGAAAAATGTTAGCATAACACAAACAAAAGCAAGCTTTGGAAATTAGGATTTAGAATGAATTGTTTCATGATAACTGAATAAAATTGAGCTTTCGTGCTATATCGAAAATCCCTACAACCAAAGTTAAAATATCTATTATCACAAACTATAATTCAACGAATGTTATCAGCAACTACTAAGAATTATTTCTGTGACATTTATATGAATATGTGTGTTTTCATTTAATCATAACTTTCAGTTAAATATCCGTTTCTTTTATGTTATGTTGAAACAGGTTGTTGTAAAGTCAACACATATCATAAGAATATATCATGCAGTGCAATATTAACGAGATATTTAACCTTCCCTTGTTGCCTGAAAATTAAATACAGCTAATCAAAACTTTCTGAATTGTCGTGAAGAAAAGAATATCTTAATGTCTAAAATCAAATGTTGATCTACAATCTTCAGAAACATGAAGTCCGATATGATAATAACAGTTGCACCTATTGAGCTTTAAGAAACGAATGAATATAAATATTATTACAGTAAATATATATTGTCAGTTCAAAGTAATTCAAATAATCAATGTTCGTTCTAGAAATGTGTCTTATTTACGTATATGATACATCAGTTAAATCGGGATAGTACCTTTATAATTAACAAATTTAACCAAAAATAATGAATAAAATCCCGTTATAAATTCTGCATTGTAAATCATACTCACACAAATCTAATAGTTTTAGAAAGGCCAAATTGTCAAAAATAAAGTGTTTACTCCAAAAAGAAAGACACCTTTTTATCGTATAAAGCATAGTCTACAATTTTCTCGATTTGTTTGGTTGCTTCCTGTAATTTCTCACAGTTGATTCTGGTCGGATCCTCCGTGAAAGACATCAATTCCTCTGTGAGTTGTTCCGCGACATAAAAATCCTGGGAAAATGTTGGAATGTGAGAGACAGAATGCAAATCACGTTGCTATCGCTTATAAGTGAAAACTAAAATAGAACATCTGTTTTATTATCACACTAAATTCAAAACAAGTGAAAACTAAAGGATAACATCTAGTTTTATTATCACACTAAATTCAAAACAAGTGAAAACTAAAGGAGAACATCTGTTTTATTATCACACTAAATTCAAAACAAGTGAAAACTAAAGGAGAACATCCGTTTTATTATCACACTAAATTCAAAACAAGTGAAAACTAAAGGATAACATCAGTTTTATTATCACACTAAATTCAAAACAAGTGAAAACTAAAGGAGAACATCAGTTTTATTATCACACTAAATTCAAAACAAGTGAAAACTAAAGGAGAACATCAGTTTTATTATCACACTAAATTCAAAACAAGTGAAAACTAAAGGAGAACATCCGTTTTATTATCACACTAAATTCAAAACAAGTGAAAACTAAAGAGAACATCCGTTTTATTATCACACTAAATTCAAAACAAAGTGTTTCGACACCTAAAAGTTAGAATTGCCTTTATACACGATTTTTTATCTGCAGTAGCTTCTGGCTATAATATTAACATTCTATTGATTTTAAACAGTGTTAAAGTTACAAGAAATAATCCATGCAATGAGAAATCATTAAGTGATTATAAACTTCATAAAATTTAACCTAATATTAATTAGTAAACTTCTTTAAAATAATACAAAGCAGGAATGTGTCCATTATATTTTGTTCTATCAAGCTTTAACTGACAGATATATTACACTGAATGTCGGAGGAATGTACTTACTTTTCTTCTATAGTTATTCACGTGGGTAGCTTCCATTTAACCAAGCCATTGCTCAACAAGTGACAAGAATGTACTTACTTTTCCTCTACAATTCTTCACGAGGATAGCTTTCCATTTAACCAAGCCATTGCTCAACAAGTGACAAGAATGTACTTACTTTTCCTCTACAATTCTTCACGTAGGTAGCTTCCCATTTAACCAAGCCATTGCTCAACAAGTGACAAGAATGTACTTACTTTTCCTCTACAATTCTTCACGTAGGTAGCTTCCCATTTAACCAAGCCATTGCTCAACAAGTGACAAGAATGTACTTACTTTTCCTCTACAATTCTTCACGTAGGTAGCTTCCCATTTAACCAAGCCATTGCTCAACAAGTGACAAGAATGTACTTACTTTTCCTTTACAATTCTTCACGTAGGTAGCTTCCCATTTAACCAAGCCATTGCTCAACAAGTGACAAGAATGTACTTACTTTTCCTCTACAATTCTTCACGTAGGTAGCTTCCCATTTAACCAAGCCATTGCTCAACAAATGACAGTATCTTCGGACAAATCCTTCCTTTCTGGAGTCAGACATACCATATGGACAATCCTGCACTGAATAGGTACCATGATCAGTTGTATTCCAATAAAATGCTCCTTGCGCTGTTCTTTCTGTTGAGGGTGGACACTGAACTATTTGGCAAGAAAATAATGAAATAATAATTTCGTACATATTATATAAAATATGTACGAAAACAAAACGCAAGTAAGATACTCCTATAAGTTTTAGTTTACTTCACATACCTCATTCTGAATTTCTAAACAAGGCCGCGTTTTTTGTTTAACTGTGGGCAGTTAAATACGCGGTTTAGCTAACTAATGAATGAATATTTGTTGTAAAATTCTCATCAATGCTATAAGTGTAGCTAGTAATTTGGCCGCCAATTTTAATTCATTCTTTTAAGTCGTACACTCAATCCTTTTTTGGCCGCACCTTTTTTTTCATACCTAAGGTGCTTTTGATTAGATATCATGACTTTTTTGACAACAAAAACCAATAAACCACACCAAATAAGAAAGTGACACCCATAGTAACCAACATTAGCTCTAGGATCGCAACCCTATTATTCGGAACAGACCTTTACTTTACAGAATCAACCAGATTCTTTAAAACATGTGATGGTAGTTTCCTCTCTAAAACAATGTTAATAGCTTCCATTAAACTAATGCCATGGAATTTAGTTTAACAGTTTCTTGTTATCACCCCATGCAGTCGGTACAGCCATATCAAGCATTATTATTTATGGTAGTAGCAACATTCTCCCTACACATAATAAGAAATAAATTCATGTAATACAAAGTCATGAAAATCTTGAAGTTCTCAGATAATCAATTAATCGATGGTTATTTTTATATAAATAAACTATAAAAAATCAGTTTAATCATAGGAGTTGGATGTATTTGTGAAAAAGTGGAAATTTAACCGAGCGCAGTTTCAACTCGCAGTTCTATATATTATGAAGTTATTTGGTTTGGTAAACTATGTCCATAACACAAACCCTCACAAAAGTATTAGAAATTTTATCGTTCATAGAGGAACCTTTCTCTGTTGACCGTGCTGCTTATTATACACGTGATTAGTTAAAACAATAAACAAGTAACTCGTTAAATAAAGACATTAGCTCATTATTTCTGGATCTTAAAATTTATATCGCTGTCTCTCCTCTTCCAGATAAAATTAAATTATCTTTCGTAAATACAGTGTTAAAATGAACACATTTAAACTGAATTATTATGCAAATCTTAAATATATCCGAGTAGTCCAGTATCTATAAAATTTTGGATCTAGAAGTACACTAGAATTAACAAAATTTCTCCTTTCTGGTTTTACATTGTATCACGTATCACGCCTGGAAAATGTTTTCTCTAGAACTGTATGACATAAGAAAGATACCGGAAGTAGAGAAGTTGGGATTAAATCATTACAAAGTCCTGTTATCCTAGATAAGTTAAATATTCAAAGAAAATATCTTTTTTTTCCTCTTTCTTACTTACTCTTTCTGAATATATAGACAGAGTTTTATTTATTTCGTTTTTAAATCGAGTACAAGCAAACTAGAGGTTCCTTGATTAAAGATCATTGTTCTTACAGTTCTAAAATAATTTTTCTTGCGGTTCTCTTCTTTTATATTGAGTGAATGTGACAAAAAAAAACGTTATAATGTTGTTGATTCTTAATCAATGACGTTTTACACCTTTTAAAGTGTATGTGTGATTATAATCAACGCGGTAAAGTGTAATGGGTGAAAACTTTGATAAACTAAAATATCTATTAGAAAACTATAAGATCGGTATCCAGTTTAAAATTAAACCATTACAATTCATAATTACTATGGGTAGTAGTTAGTAACCACTGTAACTGGTAAACTCGGGAGCTAGTAACTATTGTTATTAAAGTTACGAGTTTCCATCATAATTTCAATACCTTATATTAATAAAGTAAACATGAACTGATTCTTGTGTGTCTATGTGTGTGTCACGTAACTACTCCTAAACTGCTGGACTCACCAACTTCTAAATATCGCCAAACGAATCGTCTCAGCTACTCAGGAACCGAGTACTTCAGGAAAACACTTTTACAGGGACTCCCCGAAAGCGGTGCCCAAATTTGGCATTGAATTACATTAGAGCACGTGAATAAGTAGACCCACGAAATACCGTTCGTAACTTGGTTAATAGAATTAAATTTGCATTAAAGCGGCAATTATCATTAAACTGAAAAGGTGCAAAATAGTAGTTCAAGCATTAAATTTGTATTATAGCGGCCCTATAAATGTGGGCCATGGGCCTATGGGTTCGCTAAATAGCGCCAAACGAATCGTCTCGGCCCCGAGATTTGCATAAAGGTAAAACTTTTCACCCAACCCCTCAGGGAACCCTCGTATTTCGCGAAAACACCTTTACGAGGATTTGCCGAAAACGGACCCCAACTTTGGGTTTGATTTACATTAGAGCAAGCAAATAAGTTGGTTAGATTAATTAAATTTGCATTTTAGGGGCCCTGTAAACGTGGGCCATAGGTCCACGGGTTCGCCACTAGTTATGTATAAAGCTGTATTAGGGGTGTCATTTTATGATGGTTCCAGTATCAAGGTACCTCAGATAGCTTTCATTCATTTGACCTTATTACAAGTAGGTGGAAAGATAGTGTAATTAACACTCCACGTAAGAAAATCGACTAAGCCACAAATATACAGAGTTATTTGTCTTTTAATACAGTTTTACCTGATTTCAATCAGTAAAGAAATGTATTCGTCTATTAGACAGCCAATCAGTATTACATTTTCAACTCTGCTTATATTTTCCCAGTCTTATGTGAACACGAGCTATTAAATGGAACAACTTTAGCTGGTAATCTTGGTAATTAGTAACCACAGTACTGTGTATACACTAGCTATTAAATGGAACAACTTTAGCTGGTAATCTTGGTAATTAGTAACCCCACAGTACTGTGTATACACTAGCTATTAAATGGAACAACTTTAGCTGGTAATCTTGGTAATTAGTAACCACAATACTGTGTATACACTAGATATTAAATAGAACAACTTTAGCTGGTAATCTTGGTAATTAGTAACAACAGTACTGTGTATACACTAGCTATTAAATGGAACCTAATTACCAAGATTACCAGCTAAAGTTACAACCACAGTACTGTGTATACACTAGCTATTAAATGGAACAACTTTAGCTGGTAATCTTGGTAATTAGCAACCACAGTACTGTGTATACACTAGCTATTAAATAGAACAACTTTAGCTGGTAATCTTGGTAATTAGTAACAACAGTACTGTGTATACACTAGCTATTAAATGGAACAACTTTAGCTGGTAATCTTGGTAATTAGTAACAACAGTACTGTGTATACACTAGCTATTAAATGGAATAACTTTAGCTGACAACCTTAATGACCACTGTATTTTGTAACTACTATAAATATTAAGTACAGAGATATTAGTTAATTTAGCTCGTAGTCTCTGTATCCTTCAATCCTTTCCATAAGTGTTATTTCAAATGATTTATTTATCTCTGTGCAACATGTTAATGGCTGAGCTCTCTCATTCAACTTAGTATTCATGAAAGCAAAATATGTTTCATACCCGCATCTTCACAAAGGTTTCCATGATATCCAGGGGTACAAAGACAAGTGAAAGAGTAAACTTTGTCTTCACATCTAGCTCCATTAAGACAAGGATTAGATTTACATTCGTTGATGTGAATCTCACACTGTTCACCTGCAATTGAGAGGAAACATAAAGATATGTATATATTTAACAGATCTAATACTATATATTCCATAAATTGTATATAGGCGATTAAATTAGCACTATATAACAATGACGGAAATTTGTATATAAATCGAAACCGAGATATCTGATATGAAATTCAAAATTAAAGCTATTAAATGGAACAACTTTAGCTGGTATTCATGGTAATTAGTAAACACAGTACTGTGAATACACAAGCTATTAAATGGAACACCTTTAACTGGTATTCATGGTAATTAGTAAACACAGTACTGTGAATACACTAGCTATTAAATGGAACACCTTTAACTGGTATTCATGGTAATTAGTAAACACAGTACTGTGAATACACTAGCTATTAAATGGAACACCTTTAACTGGTATTCATGGT